GGGGGGGGGGGAGGCAGCAGAATGCAGGGGTTCTCTCAGACCACTGTGTCCTTCCCACGCTTCACAGACTAGGTTGAAAGTAGGCTAGTAATTTGGCCACTTGGGGTCTTTCCAGAAGGTTAAAGCAGGGCTTTCCTCTGTGGTGCACTGGCTGGGGGTTCTAAAGAGTCACCCCAGCTGGGAACCTGACAATGAGTCTGGCAGCCCCAAGAACTCCCTGTGGCTGCAGGTGCACCAGATGCAAACCCTGAGTTCAAGAGCTTCTGGTCTGCAGACAGGGTCTTCAAGTAATAGTGAGACCACTGGGTGCTGTGTAAAATACTTCTGCCCAACAATGGCAGTGTCCTCGGTTGCTCTTAAAGACAAGCACGTACCTGCAGGGTGCAAGACTTTCCTCAGGCCTGACAGAGCCGGGTCTGAACTTGACACCTGGCCAGCAACCCTGACGGACGGCTGCTGGTCTCAGGTTGAGGCAGGCAGATGGGAAGGGCCATGGGCGACTCTGTGCATTCAGGTGAGAACTGTCCTATGGATGCAGGAACACCTCCTGGGTCACCAAGGGGGACCACTGATGTGAACAATAGTGGAAGCTGTTTTTCGAACAGAGAGTTTCCCTTGTCCCGATTCAGAGATTCACCCTATGGCACCAGGCCTCCTTTCCTGCTTTGGACCCTCGTGCCTGCCGCTGCCTCACCCTGATCACTGTGTGTCCCATTGCCTGGGTGAGCGGCTGGCAGCACTAAGAAGCGTGCCCAGGCTGTCAGGGATGCGGCAGCCAGACAGATATTAGCACACCTGGATCAAAGGAAGGCAGAGGGAGAGAAAGCCGTCTCCTCCTGAAAAGTGGGGTGCTGCTTCTGTGTAGCCATGGCGACTCTGACCAGGCAACACCATGGGTTGCACAGGAGCAGAGATGATGGGGACACAGTATACAGTGTCCCTTGCAGGTATGCACAGGGTGCTAGGTCTTGGGAGCCCCAGGGAGGACTGGAAGCAGAGAGGGAGTGGGCTGCTGAGCTGCTTCCTGCTTTACTCAGTGAGCAGACCTTTCCAGGAGGAATGCTGGCAACTGGCAGGAGGGGCCTTAGGGAAGGGAGCTGGGTGTGTGTAGGGGTGAGACCCTGAGAATGGAGCCTCTAGCCCATGCCACTGCCCACGGCCCCCCAGATGTCCTGGGCTCTTAGTTGCACAGAAAAGCCTGCCGGCTCTGTGGCACTGGAAGGAGAACCCGCAGCTGTATCCCCTCTAGGGGCAGAGATCTGTGTCTCAGCTGGGCTGGCCTCGTCCACAGACACAGTGAATCATCCTGTCTGTGGTGCTGACGAGACGGTGCTGGGGCAGCTCCCTCTGGCTGCTGACATGCCCAGACATGTGCTCCTTCTGGAGGACACCCCTCCTCCCTTCTTCCCTCCCTTCCAGAACCAAAAGCAGCCACTGCCAACAGCCTCTTGCAGAGAAGCCAATGTGACTGCCAACTTCAGCAACTTGGCAATTGCAAAAGTAAAAGAAGGGAGGAACGGAGAGGTGGGTGACTGGGCGATGAGGAGAGAGGCCTGGGAAAGCCAATGGGTCCCGGATCCTGGGCCTTACCTTGGCAGTTCCTGCTGTCCTGGGAGAGCTCATAGCCGCTGTAGCAGGCACAGTGGAAGCTGCCTGGCTTGTTGTAGCATATTTGGTTGCACCCCCCGTTCTTCTGGCTGCATTCGTTGACATCTGGGCACACACAGGACACAGAGGGACTGGGGAGAGCCCAGAGGTGACACACACCCGCCTAAAGCATGCGACAGTGTCTGCATGTCTATCTCCATTGCATCCACCCTCAGATCGTGGGCAGGAGGAAGAGGGAGGTCTCCTATGCTATGGGTGGTGACAGTCCACCGTGCCAGCTCTGTCGCTATCCAAGTGTGCATGGGACGAGAGCAGAAGTCTAAAATACCCGAGGATGGATATGGCCAGGCAGCCATGAGGCCCAAACTCAGTCTGGCCAAGCCCCACACAGGCTGAGCTGAGCCCTCACAGACCACCTGTGGGCAGGGCCTCCAGTTCGGCTCAGCTGCCCCAGGAGGGAACACCGGGAGGCCCTGAAGTGGGACAGGGCTCTCCACCAGTGAAGGGGTTGGCCTGAGAGTCCTAATCAGGTCCTGGGGATTTTTCTAGCAGCTTCTTTGTTGACACTCTATAATTGCAGACTCGAGAGAGGCTGGAGAGGAAACTACTCATCCCCTTTTTAATCGCTGGGGCTGAGGCTAACAGGGGCAGCCACTAGGCTCTGTGTGGTGGTCTTACTGCCTTACGGTGGCCCCTTCCTTTGCTTCAGTCCTGCTCTTGGAGAGGAATCACTCCGTTCCTCCCAGTTCTCTCAAGGAGCTGACCAGATGGCTTCTCAAGCTGGATACTGCCCCATCCCAAGAGGCAAAATCAGGGCCTCTGGCACTGTAAAACATTCTCACTCTTGGGATGACTCTCATGAGGGGCCTAGGATGCCCTGCCCGCCCATCTCTTCCCTCCTTGCCTGGGAGCTGAGTGGAGGCTGGCCAGTGAGTAGCCTGGACTCTAGGACAGTCTGCGGGCACCTCCGTACCTCCCCATTCCTGTTTCAGCCAGAACAGGCCAGCATGGCTGTGTCCCCAGTGGGGCAGGGAGAGGAAAGAGGGAGGAGAGACATAGGATCTCCAGCTTAGGTGCCTCTCCGGCAGCCCTTCAGGGAGGTCTCAATAGCCACACCCTCAACCCTTGTCCTGTGGTTGTAGTGGCCTTACCTTTGTCACAGAGCCTTCCCCCCCAGCCGGCTTTGCACTGGCAATAGAAGTTGCCCATGAGGTCTTGGCAAACTTGGGTCCCCTCCTTATTGCAGGGGTTTGGAGAGCACTGGTCAGGCAGGTCTGCAATGAAAGGAAGGAGAAAATTGTCCTGAGCTGCTCCCGGCCTGCTGGGATGGCCCGGTCATAGTGGGCAGGACCACAGCCTCTGGTCAGGCCCCTGGGCACACTAGCCCTAGGCAGGAGCACTCTGAGGCAGATCCAGGGCACCAACATCCTCTTTACTGGCCCAGGCTGGCCACATAGAATCCCCACCTCTGGGAAGGAGTAAGGTCACAGAACAGGCTGGCCAGGCCCCCGGGGTTGGTTCCAGGAAGGAGTGGCCACCTACCAACAGGGCCAGGAGGTTGGGGTTTCAGCCTATTAGGGAGTAAGGGAGGAGAGGGGTGGGCCTTGCTCAGCCCCATGAGCTCGGACCTCCTAGGGAGCAGGTCAACAGAGCCCTGGCTGACCCAAGGGCCTTCCAGGCAGATGTGGAACGTTCCCCCATCCCCAGTGTATATCTCCACCCTCTCAGGCCAGGCCCCCTGCCCACTCAAACCACGAGCCCATCAACCTTCGCCAACATTCTCTCCACTGGGCTTGGCCTCTGTGGGGGTGCCACCCCCTTTTCTACCCCCCCCCAATCTGCCTGCACAGGAAGGGGGACTGCCTCAGGTCCAGGCTGCACTGATCGCTCCCAGGTCCTCCCACAGTGGCACAGGGTGGCGGTGCCCAGGCCGGGTGCGCCTGACCTACGCTAGCGGAGCTGTCTGCCTGGGATCATGAGCATATAAATCACCAGCATAATTTCCACCTGTTTTAGGGATCGCAGTTGAGACTGTCCCAGTGGAGTGCCTTCCGAGGGCTCTCTCACAAACACAGCTGAAGCTTCCATAACACGGGGCTGGCCGGGCGCTTACCCATCCACATGGCCATTAGTTGCTCCCAGGCTTCAAGTGGCTGAGAGCAGAGTACTTGCCGGAAAGCTATGATTGTCTGATTGTGCCCAGAGCTCCAAGAATCCTACCACGAGGTCCCTGGCCATGCCGAGGTGGACCTGGCAGGGAGATACGGGCCTTTCCATCTACTTCTCTGCCATCGCCGCTCAATTCAAAACACTGTGTGGCTTTTCTGGACACTGTGGAGAGGCCACACTCCTCTGGCCTGAGAAAGGCTCATGTCTACAGACCTACAAGACGGTTGAGACATTTCTGGGAGGTGGAGAAACCCTGAGCTGGCTACACTCAGCCGGTGGAGGAACCCAGGCAGGTCTTGGGAGCAGCAGGTCCTGCACCCACCGCTGCTCACCTCTTGAGTTTTCCAGAGACTCATCAAATGCAGCTGTGTCCTGACTCAACCCGCTCCAGGCTCAGTGTCCACATTGGCGTCCAGCAGCATGTCCCATCCAGTTCACACAGAAAGAGCCATGTAATCATCTGTTCCCCAACGGCCTTCTCTCTTCCCCCTTTTAAAGCTGCTTTCGCCTACGCTCCTTGCAGAATCTACTGACTTTCTCTCATGAGCCTCTTCACATTAAACATCTCCCAGGGACTCTCTGTTGCTTTCCTGTTTTCCTCTCTTCCAGTCCAGGGTGAACATGCCTTATCCAGCCCCTGAACAGCACAAGGTCCATGGCTGAGGTCCAAATTGAGGGTTGAGACTGACTCATTCACAGTAGGAGGGAAAAGGCACCCAGACTGCCTTCAATGAACTCATCAGTGCCTGTGGTGAGTGGATACAAGCAAAATCGGCTTCTCGTGGTTTTGTTTTTAGTTAAGGGCAGCTAGGTACATTTCCCTAGCAGCCCTGTCACCCAGGACAATTGCCTGTCAAAATTCCCCAGGCCCAGGCAGGTGGCAGACTAGGCAGAAGAGGAGCAGGTGACACCAGGGGCATGCCACCTGGGCACAGCTCAGACCAGCTACACTGACATTCTCTCTAACACACAGCACTCACTACCATTCATCCAATGTCACTAGTGTTGTTTCCAAGGGCCATATGTCCATCTATAGCATTCGAATCAGATATTATTACTTTTTCGATTTACGAAGTGAATAGCCCATCTTAGGTAATGTGGCAGGTGGGTAGAGGATCATCTGACCCCTGGGGAACTAGGATGCAATGGTTCTCCAGCTTTTCCTGTCTGCCCCCACCCTGTACAGATCTGAAGTCACCATTCATTCCACTGCCTGGTCACTGGGAACAGGCCCAAGCCAACAGGCCCTCAGGCTGCTAAAAGCACCGGGCCAGGGTCTGTCCTGATGTCACGTACAGGTTTTTTTGTTTTTGTTTTTTTAAATCCTCACCCAAGGATATTTTTTTCCATTGCTTTTCAGAGATAGTGGAAGGGAGAGAGAGAAAGAAACATCAACGTGAGAGAGATACATCGATTGGTCACCTCCTGCACGAGCCCCAGCTGGGGTCGGGGTCAAGCCTGCAACCAAGGTATGTGCCCTTGGCTGGAATCAAACCCGGGACCCTTCAGTCTACAGGCGACACTCTAACCACTGAGCACTACCAGCTAGGACTCACATACAGTTCATCACCTCTTTCTTAAAACGCCTGACATTTCCAGCCTGACTGCAAATTTGGGGACAGCATTTCCACCACAGGGCTTGCTCATCACAATGAGTTCCTGGCAGACCTGTTTCCCTGCTGCCAGCACAGGAGGAAAGTGGTCTCCGCATTCCTCGAGTGAGCTGGTGTCAGCCCTTGTCACCGTGCTTTGTGTTCCCTCAGCTGTCCATGCAGCCTGGGCACACCGATCTTTGGGGAATCTGCATAACTGTGTCTGAAAACTGGAACCAAGTCTCTCATCATGTTTTTCTTGTGACTTTTCCATGGCACACCTCAAAGCGGGCTTGTTTCGCATTGTCAAGGCCAACAGAACACTTAAGAGTGTAGACTGAATACATCTCCCAGTCTTTTTGAGGCACTGCACAGTTGTTTTTGGCAGGGAGCTGCAAACGCCTTCTACCAGTAAGCAAGTAGGAACTAGGTCCAGCGATCAGAGGAATTTGGTCACGGAATGGTGGGTCACCCACAGCTTCCACAAACCCACCCGAGGTCAGCCCTGCGGTCTCCACATGCTGCTCTGGATCCCTTTCCATTCCGCCACACTTGCTGTAATGAGGGTTATACTCTGGGGGCAGGAGGGACAGGGAGGGTGAAGTCAAGTCCAGTCCCAGGACTAGAGAGATGAAGGGACAGATCTGTTTTCCTGACTTCATCCTGACAGGAAGGGGCTCTGAGGGCAGGAGGGTCAGAGAGACCAGGGGTGGGCAACATATGCTGGGGCCTGGCCAGCACCTGAGCTTGGATTGAGCAGCTGGTTCACCTGACACCCCCTCAGGATCTCAACACAAGGCCCAGACAGGCCCCCACAGGAGGGAAGTCAGGGAGGTGGTGTGTGCTTGACATATTTATTAAAGATTTAAAGTTATTTCAGAAGTACACACATGTACCTTTGATGTGAAAGACTGGTTAACTTCATTTAGAATTTGCCTAGAATGCCTAAACCCTCCTTAAAAAAACTCAGGGTTCCCAGGACCAAGGGGCCAATACCAACTTCTACTGGGGTGGTGTTTTCTACTGTGGGTGACCCACCATTCTGTGACATAACACCTATCCCAGAAGAAAATCCCTCAGAGCTCCTTCCTGCCAAGGTCTGTCCCTTCATCTCTCTAGTCCTGGGGCTGGACTTTACCTCACCCTCCTTGTCCCCTCTGCCCTCAGAGTATAACCCTTGTCACAGCAAGTGTGGCAGCATGGGAAGGCATTCAGAACAGCACATGGGGACCGCAGGGCTGACCTCAGGTGGGTTTGAGGCAGCTCTAGGTGATGCACCATTCCATAAGCAAATTCCTCTGATCACTGGACCCAGTTCCTACTTGCTTACCGGCAGAAGGCATTTACAGCTCCCTGCCAAAAAAAATGTGCAGTGAAGGAAGGAAATAATAAAGATCAGAGCAAAAATAAACAAAATTAAGTCTAGAAAAACAATACAAAAGATCAATAAAACCAAGAACTGTTTCTTTGAAAAGATAAACAAAGTTGACAAACCTTTAACCAGACTCATCAAGAAAAAAGAGAGGACCCAAATAAAACAAAATCAGACATGAAAGGGGAGAAGTAACAACTGACACCAAAGAAATACAAAAAGGATTGCAAGATTATTATGAACAACTATATGCCAATAAATTGGACAATCTGGAAGAAATAAATTCCTAGAAACATACAATCTTCCAAAACTGAATCAGGAAGATTCAGAGAATCTGAATAGATAGATTATAACTAGTGAAATTGAAGCAGTAATAATAATTTTAAAAACTCCAAACAAACAAAAGTCCTGGAACGGATGGCTTCACAGGTATATTTTACCAAACATTCAAGGAAGAACTAACAACTATTCTTCTCAAACTTTTCCAAAAAATTCAAGAGGAAGGAAGACTCCCAAGCTCATTTTACAAGGCTAGCATTATCCTAATTCCAAAACCAGATAAAGACACTACAAGAAAGAAAATTATAGGCCAACATCCCTGATGAACATAGATGCTAAAATTCTCAACAAAATATTAGCAAACCAGATACAGCAATACATTAAAAAGATCTTACACCATGATCAAGTAAGATTTATTCCAGGGATGCAAAGTTGGTACAATATCTGCAAATTAATAAATATGATACATCACATAAACAAAATGAAGGGTAAAAACCACATGATCATAGTAATAGATGCAGAAAAAGCATTTGATAAAATCCAATACCCATTTACGATAAAAACTCTCAGCAAGTGGGAATAGAGGGAACAAACCTCAGCATATTAAAGGCCATATATGACAAACCCACAGCCAACATCATACTCAATGGGCAAAAACGGCAAGTGTTTCCCTTAAGATCGGTAACAAGATAGGAATGCCTGCTATCACCACTCCTATTCAACATAGGACTAGAAGTCCTAGCCACAGCAATCAGACAAGAAGAAGAAATAAAAGGCATCCAAATTGGATAGGAGGAAGTAAAACTGTCACTATTTGCAGATGACATGATACTGTATATAGAGAACCCTAGAGATTCCACCA